GATGTTCCTTTTAATGCTGGCGTGTCTCCTATTTCAGATAACATCAGAATTAGTTTAATTTAATAACATGTTTGCTGGATGAACATGAACAGTTTACCTCATGCCAGCTGTATTTTCTCTCTAATTCATTTATTAAAAAAACATCCCAAGCAATATTTCTTAACCTTTTTACACACACACACACACACACACACACACACACAGAGGGAGAGAGAGAAAGAAAGAGAACAAGAGAGCGCCTTAGGTGACAACCAGTTTCAAGTGACTTCTTTTGAAAACAGATTGACTTTTGTGCAAAATCATTTATAAACAATGATGCAATCATGTTTCAGGAATTAATCTTCAGAACACTGCCCATTTTGGAAGGATTCTCTCCTGCAAGTGTTTCTATTTAGTAGTGAATGTCAGTGGTTCTCTTTTCTTTTCTCTAATAAATGGGTCAATGAAGTAAAGGAGATGCAGTTTTTATTAGAAAGTATGCACTGTGAACATAAAACATGGGGATATTTTGTGTTGAAGTATGTGCCTTGCTGGACTACATCATCAATTCTGAATCAATGGGCAATGAGTTGCCCAATGAAGACAATGAGAACCAACCCATTATTTACTAATGAATCTGTATATCATATACCTGCTCTCTTCTTCCTTCAAAGTCCCTCAAGTGGGTAACATATTGCTGCAAGATGGTTCCCCATCAAGGCCAAGACAACGCCAGCTGTGGGACTGTGTCATGTGCATCCCCACCTCTTCCATAAATAACCTCTGACTTCCTTAACTGCACTTCCTCAAGATCAGTCCATCATCCCCAGGCATTTATCATGCTGACTGGAACTGAGCTGGGGTAATTCAACACATTCAATGAGTACTAAGTTGGGAAAGAGTTCCATACTGTAATGAAGCCTATTACCAAATCTTCAATAAGCATATCTGTTTTTCCCTCTGCCTGCATCTGTCTCCCCTGTGCTAACGCTTAGATTTTAAGCTTGTCATGTCAGCTACTGCTTCTTCTACTTCTTCTTTATAAAGTGCCCACCATTGTTCCTCTTCCTGGTTTTGTTTTTACATCTAGGTCACCCCAAATTCATAATTTAATTCATAATGATTTATAATTTAAACCCTATTAAATTAAGCCGCCCCGAGGCTTTGTTGCGATGGGGGCGGCATAGAAATTCAGCAGAATAACAGGTGGCAGGAACCACATATTGCTCAGTTCAAAGTAAGAATATGTTTGTCAAGTTAAACAAAGAGAAAATCAGAGGAGCAGTGAGTTGCTTGTCAGGGTAATTAGCTGAGATTTCGTACTCTACATGATCCTTGTTTGAAAGTGTGGAAGAAGTGGCAGTACATGGTAGGACTTTCATCCAAGTTCTTTTTGATGCAAGTGAAGAAAAGTGCTGGGTTTGTATGTTTGTATGGAAAAAGATAATTCAGTGCCATTCGCAAACCTGAGTAGAATATTTTAACTACTTCTGATCGCATCTTAATGGGAAGTACATTGCATGATTACATTTATGGTATAGTTAGAAATATTATTTCTTTGTTCTAAGCCACTTATTTGCACATGGTAAGTCAATAAATAAAAAAAAAGTTTGTCTATGTGGAATATATTTGATCAGAAAATCTCTCTAGAACAGTTTCCAGGTCTCCTGGAAGTAATTACAATTCTATGCCTGGTTTGAGAGGAAAATATGAAGACAGACAACAGCTTTCAATCTAGTAGGTCATGACTGAGAAGCTCAGAATAATGAGAATCTACTTCCTGTTTGCAGTCCATATGGTACTGTTAATCTGCACAAAGAATGTTATAATAGTGTATCTCATAGTTTCAAATCCTGATGGTGATGTTTGTACTTTTATTTTATTATATAAAATATGACAGCTGAGTACACTCTGGATAATTCACTCTTTCCCTAGTGAGATTTGGTTGGAATCAAATGGAACTAGTTGATACAGTACTCTGCAAGCAAAGAAGAGGCTTTTTCAGTAGATACATGCCAGTATTGAATGTTTTCTCCAGAAAGGCTGTTCTGATGTCTCCTTGGCATTGAAAGTTTGCCAGAGTTTTCAAATAGGAGTTTAATCACTAGTAATTGTCCTTGATAACTCTAGTTTATTAAACTGGGTATGTGATTTGGCATTTCCTTACTGCCCACACCCCAATCAGGTGCAGCAGAGAAACTGAAAGTGTTGACCTCAAGTCATATTTCTTGTTTAATTAAAAGTTATCAGGAAAGCAAGGAAGGTCATCTGTTTCTGTGGCAGCCACATACTGAATCTTGAATATATTATGCATGTATTATGCACATCTCCAATGAATGCACACACATACACACACACCTGTGGCTTGACCATTCTAGCAGTGCTGTTCTTAATGTAGGGGAAACCTGTATGTGCCTGACACATTTTCATAATACCTTAATGAACAATGTGAACTAGTTAGAAAAACTGAAGGGAAGTTCTAGCAAAATATATAATGGTCTACAAAAACCACAGGTAAATTGGAGCAACTGATTGTTGGTCCTTTTGCTAGCAAATTAATCTTGAAATACCACTTGTTACACAAACAGCATCAATCACACACCGGGAATTTTCTTAGAAGCAAATTAAAATTAATTGTTCAAGTCTATTGTTTGACAGGCTAGCCTTTATAACTAAACTCTATTCACTGAGCTCTATTTTAATTGGTATGGTTGCACATGAGATCTAAAAAATGAATACAGTAGATGCACAGTTCAGAGTAGAGCTCTTGTTGAACCTCCTGTTATGTGTGTGCTCAAACTGCAAGCATGACGTAAAGAACCTCAGATTTAATATCGATTTGCTGATGATATGGCAATGGAGGAAATTCATGAGAATCCAGTTCCATTCAAACTGAGATGAGATTGAGAGAACATCAAAGCTGCCTTTTTCTTTTCTTTCTTTTCTTTAAGTATGTCTTAAACAAGAAAGAAGAAATATATGTTTAAACATATACGTTTGTTCTGTGTGTTTTGCCTTATCTAGAAATAGTAGGCAATAGGTTGTATTATAGGATCTCTTAATTAATCATACTTCAGGAATTAGTCAAAAGGAAAGAAATTGTGTGTGGGGGAGGGGTGGACCTTTGGTTTGGTTTTGGTTCTGTATTTGGAAACTTTATTGAATGTCAGTAGTTGTACAGTAGTAATATTAATAAATCATCACAATCATCTTCTCTACTGTGTGGTTTATGCAGTGTTAATTTCCATTAACTAAAACTTTATATAGGAAAGAAAATACCCTACAATTTCTGGCTGAGGCATGCTGTTAAGCTGAAACCCTTTTTTATGTCTAAACATGCATAGGACTATACCAAAAAAAGCATCAAGAAATTGGCTTGTTATCTCTGTCTATTTCAGAGAAATGATTCTTTTATGGTAGATTTCCATTCATTGTCCATTATAGAAATGAAATCCTGTGTTGTGCAATATAGGATCAGCATTTTCTCTGACACATTCTTCTCTTATATTTCTGTCTTCCAAAAATAATAATAAAAAAAGATTTACAGTTAGAAATGGCAGTGGTATATCAATGGATGATTTATGGGGATTCTTTCATCACAGAATGTGTTAAAGTCTATGTACAGTAGATATTTAAAATATGATAGTAGATTTACCTAGAAAAATACATGTGAAATCACATTGTTAGTAGATGGGGTTTTATTGGCTTAATGTCTGAGAAGATGCAGGAATGTAAGTAATTGCTTCTGAAGTATATCACAATTTGTGTTAAGGAAATTATCTCCAGATTTCTATTTTCTATTTTTCAGGTGTTTTGACAGTATCTCTGTCCCCCCCCCCCCACCCAAATAGCTGGACAAACAGGCCCTGAGGGTGTCAACCCATGGCAATAGCCTGAAGTGCTGCATATATAAGTCCTCCTCTTTAGTATTTTATCTGCAAATTTTACTTAGGAGAAAAATGTTGTTCTCCACTATTACAAAGAACCCCACATTATAGAGCCACCTGCCTTTTATTTTTCTATAAACCTTGGTTAACCAACACACTAATAGAAGTATCACTAGCGGACAGAGTTTGACAGATTTTCCCATTCCTAATTGAGAGATGTACAGGGAATGAGTGTGGTCTGAAAACTTGTGATGCAGCCAGTATGCGTATGCTCTGTCTTTTGAAATATAAAATGCATATTTTTGACTGGGGAAGAGAACACATTAATGCTGTTCATCAATGCACCCCCTTCAAGTGGCAGCATTTTTAGGAAGCTACACTGACAAAGTCACTGTTCTCCTAAGTCATCTGGGAGGTCTTCAAGCTGTGTATGCTGTCAGTGGAACTCAGCTATAAAATCCATCAGGTTCATTGAGAAAAGCAAGCAGTGTATATTAGTTTTATTTGTATTTTGTATTAGAAATTGGTCATGTTAGGGAGAATAAATGAGATTATTTCCTTTGGCTTTTGGTGTGACACTTGGAAATGGTTGTTTTGTTTCATTTCGTTTTGGTTTTGGTCTTTGTCTTAATAAAAGATGGGGGGGGCAGTTTAAGATGGACACTACTTTAAGTGGAAATATAAAACTCTTTAGAAAGACAACCATATGTTCTCAGTACTATATGAACTGAGAGTGCAGAGGAAGCATAAGCATGAAATAATTTGTGAAAATACTGTCCCGATTACTTGTAGATCTCTGGTTCCTAATATTAGATACAAAAGACTGCATTCTTCTGCCATCTTTGTTTATCCTGTAATGAAATCTTGTTTATGGGAGCCTGTTTGGGAGAAAGAATTAAATATACTTCAGCCTGTCATGCACACCATGCTATGCCACAATCAGTGTTGTTAAGGCTTTTTTATAATGCTGTGGGTCTAGGAATACGAATACTGTCCCTTGAGAAAAATCTAGTTCCAATAAATTTTGCTGCAGGAAGACTAAGATGAAAATACCAATGATTGATGGGAAAGCAAGGACAGGGGTTTGAACTGATCCAGATTCCTTCTAATTTATTAACATCTAATAATTGTATTATGGCAAAAGGTAAATTAACTGGAATTATAGTCTTAGACACAGTATAGTCTTAGACACAGTGAAATAAATGAAATGTTGCACTGAACTAAATAGCATGTCCATAATGGTTCTCTTGTTCTAGGCCTTTGATAGTTGAATCATTTACAAATTTCAACATCCTTCTCTCCTTTAGGTGTGGATACAGATGAATTATCTCAAGTCATGAATTCTGACTCTATTTGCAACTTGATGGAAGACAAACGGCTTCTTCGAAACCAGCCTAAAGAGCCTTATGACATTGAGTCAAGAGACTATGGAAGAACATGTAGTGTTTGCAACTCAAATATAATATCACCAAGAGTTCTTCCATCTTCATATTATTATCCCTCTATGTACATATGTAACAGCAGTGATTGGGACATTTGTGAGGAACTACGCCTTCGAGAGCTTGAAGAAGCTAAGGCAAGGGCAGCACAAATGGAGAAGACCATGCGTTGGTGGTCAGACTGTACTGCCAACTGGCGGGAGAAATGGAGCAAAGTTAGAGCTGAAAGAAATAAAGCTTTTGAGGAGGGGAGGCAACTGAAGCTCAAACTTGAAGGATTAATGAAGGACCTCAATGTCCTGAAAAAAATAAACCAAGGTTTAGTTAGTAGAAATGAAGAAATGGAAGCTAAAACTACTTGGAAAAAGAATTTTGGTTCTTCTGAAATGTGCTGGATGAAAGAGGACCATTTAGGAAATCTGGAGAAGGAGCCTATTAAACATCTACAGAACAACATTTTGGAGGTAGAAAGTGGCTGTCAGGTAAATAGATATGGGCATTTTTAAATCTCAAAAATGAACCATTCCCTTTGTAATTCAAAACACACAGAAGCTGTAGTCTTCTACCAACTTACTTGCATACAAGCCCCATTTAACTCAATAGGAATGGCTTCTGAGTACAGAATTATGTCATGAAAATTTAAACCCAACAAGTCCAATGGCTATTATCAAATTTATTTTCAAACAGGTCAATAGATCAACCTCAGTCCTGCTCTTCCAAAGTAATACAGAATTAAAATATAGAGTAATGCAGTATCACACATTCAGAACAGTTTGTGGAGGAGGTTTTCCTACAAAATAGGAAATGTATTTCCCAAATCATATACGTCAATCTTGTGCTGACAATATTTCATGTAATTTTCATTTCAGGAAGTGTGTGCAACTTTAGATCATCATGAAATGAGAATCAATCCAGAAATTATTGATTGTGAAGACAAATCTACTCCAGTTTTAATGGGGAAAAGCAAAGATAAGCCAGCCCTTTCTCATGATGATGAAATAATTCCTATATCAGTGTTCTGTTTGCATCTCTATGAATCACAGAAAATCTTGCAAAAGGAAAAGAAGTAAGTTAAAATTTATTTCCTTTGGTTCTAACAACTTTTGTACAAATCAGCTATTGAAAAAGCAATCCTAAGATCTAGTGAATGGAGGGATAACTTTGGGTCTTATCCCCACCCTCTCCACACACACAGACCCTTTATCTCAGTCAAAAGCTCAGTGGTGGCTTCTGTGGCTGACATTGGAATTTCAAGGAAGGGATGAAATTGATGGTTTGGGGCATGCTAGACAATGGGGACAAGAGCAGCCATGGATTCACTGAATATTATGACCTCTTAGCTCAAACAAAGTCTAACAATAGACTTTGCCATTGTCCCTGACCATTGAACAATGCCCAACAATGAGTGGATGATTGGGCACCTCCAGAATTAACGCTATATGGATTCCAGACCCATATATTTGCTTTCTTAGTAGTCCCGTTTAGCATCAGGAGGCATATGCCAGTGATAGAAAGACTAGTCTCAATGCAAATTTCCTTGGGATATGGTTTGTATTTTCACCTTAAATTAATCTGTCTTGCCACTGCTGCAAGTAAGTGGCTGACAGCAACCTGAAAAAATATAGCAGACCTTTTAAAAGTGTCTGCAAACTTTCTGTCTACATACTATTGTGCTACAGAGATTTTGCTCTAATATTTTAAAAGCATCTTACTGACAGAGCAGAGTAGAATCCAAAATTTTATACTAGTACTGGTAGCAGTTCTTGCCAGTGATACTATGCATTTATTGAGAGTCCAAAATGAGTGCATAAAATAATATAGAAAAGAGAAAACTCTTCCCCAGACAGAATATAATCTTGCTGGTTCATGAAAATAGCTTAGGTTCTCAGTTGCTTGTGTACAATTGTTCATAAGCTTGGATTTGCACACAGTCATCTGGAAAGAGTTTGATATGAATGGAGATTACATGCATACTCAACCATGTAGGAGTTCGGCAATGCTCTTGATCTTGGTGTGTGCTTATGGTTTTTGGACTAACACATCGAAGGTGTCATGGAAGAAAGATCGGTTGAAAGGCATTACAACACTCATCATGTGTCCTGTAAGAAAACAAATCATCCAGAATAATGGCTAGATAATGCAGAATCTTCACAATTCTTATTTGCACAGGAATGGTCCAATTATATTGCTTATCTTAAATATGTATCATTAAAAATTCTCTAAACATGTATATGCAAAAAAAATCCAATATTCTTTTACTGCTGCTGCGGCTCCTGTTATTTTAATCTGATCAGGAGCTGCTAAGAATATTACAACAAATATTGATACTACATGCATCCAAGTTTTATTGGAAATCAGCTATTAAATGTCTTCATATTATCCAAAGTCATGGTTCAGCCCAAGTGACAAACTTTTAAGTCCCACTGATTTAACTATGAGTCAATGTTCATAATTCTTCCATTGACACTGAAGGAACTTATGAGACTTATACCTTCTGAGTACTATTATCTATGCAAGAGAGAACATTAATGTTTAAAAAGTTTTAAGTACTTATTATTTTTCCAAATGGCTGAATTGCATTGGCTAGGAAAATTATGTAAGATTCAGATCTTCGGTGATGACAAGTTTTATTGTTCTTCACATTGAATTATTTATATTGTAATCACAACCTATCACAAGTCTTTTTCACAAGTCTTTTCATAGATCTGCGTTCTTATACTGTTTTCCTATGCTATTCAGCAGTATGTACCAAAAAAGAATCACAACAAGGACCCAATATATTATTCATTTCTATGTGTATCCCTTGGAAAACTTGAAGGGCTGCAAGCTTCAAATCCCAGCATTTCCAGATAGGACTGGATGTATGCCTAGCAGTCAGTACTGGTCTAGATAGTATAAATCATCTACCTGGGTTTATGTATTCTTGTATACTAGTTGATACAATAATATCTCTAAGGGTTCTGTTCAAGGAGGCTGCCTGTAACTTCAGACTCAAAAGATTATGGATATCCTATGCAGGGCTGGATGATTGTGGAAACAAAGTTCTTCCACCCTACAGAGCAGTGAGATGGCTGAATTCAGTCATATAACTGTGGCACCTGAAAGTAGGAAGAGAGGACTCTATCACTTCCCCTTCCCACCTCAAGAACACTCCTATAAGGTCTCTCTTCCACTTTCAGAGGAACAGCTGGCATTTTTCCACCATGCTGGCTCTATGGAGGTCCTCCTTAAGCATGGAGTCCCAGCTCTGATGTCAGAGTGGGGTCTCCAAATAATATAAGACCGTATTTAGGGACTACGAGATAGCTCGGTGAATGCTTTACACTCAATATTACAAACTGCACAGAAAACACACTGTTAAACACAATTTCAGATGGAACAAGTACAAAAGGCAATATAATGAATACTAAGATGGACAGCGAATGTAATGAATTAACTACAAGTCAAACAGAGCTTGAAGGAGCAAGTGTATATTCAGAGAGCATTTAAGACATTCTGTTTTCTGGACCCCACTGGAAAGGGTGTTCTGGTTGGTGGGCAGTGCCGGAAGAGCTGCTTTCAAGATGTCACAGAATGATATTCTGTTGGTCAGGGATCAAACCAGCAAGGCGTCTTCTAAAGATCTTAGAGCCTGGCTGGGTATGCATAGGGGAAAGAGATCTGTTGAATACCATTTGTTCCCAGGGGAAGGATCCACATCACTAGTCTTGCCTACAGCTTCCCACCCCTTCGTTGGTAGACTAGAATGCAAATATACCAGAGAAATGAAGCTTCAACACACCACCAGTTATTTTTTATAACAGTGTTCTTCAGCTTGAAATAGTCCATCAAAAGCCAAGAATTAGAGCAGCAAAATGGCTAACCTGGTTTCAGGATTGGATACCCATTACTTCTGAAGAAATAATTTCCTCTCTACTGATGCAACATCAACAGGAGCAGCTCAGGCTGAGCTATATAATTCTGGTGACACTGTAGTCTTAAGTACTGTTTTGCTGCCATTTTTGTTACACTACAGGATCCGCTCATCTCTGGAAAAAGAGATTGAGAAGGTGAGGTCAGAAAAATCTCTGTGGAAATTGAAATACGAGGAACTGAGAAAGAGCATGCAGGGATCATTAAAGCAGGTATGCTACAAAAGGCAATTCACATGAGTAATTGAAAAATTGAAGAACTTTTGTTTTTCTCTTTATTCTTTTAACCTATGGAATTATGGCTGTGTTAGGGTGAGTATGTACTTTCCCTTTTCTAAGGTTTTCTTGCGAGTTAGCTTTACCTTGCATTCACTACATGAATCTTTGTTTTGATTAAGTATGGAGAACCAGAATTAATTCCTAAATTAGAGCTTGCACAAGTGTTTCACAACAATTGCTTTGAACATTTATGTCAAGAATATCTCTGCATATTGATGAAACAATATGCAAAAAGGCAACTTGATACAACTGGGCACTCCAGCTGTGGTCCTTTCTGTGCTGCTTCATAAATGCACACAAGTACTTGTGCACATTGGTGATTCAGAGAAGAACAGAAAAGAGACCAATGAATAGAAGCAGCTGAAAGCTGCAGCAAATTTGCATACGCAGTGGTCTGAAAAAAGTCTGGAACCATGAAACAAAGAATAGCACATTTGTAAGACATGGGTACTGCACTGAAAATAGGACTAGGTAATATCCCAATCCAAAGTACAGGGAGAAATCTGGTTGGCTATGATTTCATAAGCACAACAAGTTATATGATGTATGAAAGTACTTCATGGGAAGAGTAACATGCATACTGATAGGTAACTTACCTATTCACAATTTATTATGGCTACCGTTATTGAAAGCATATTGGAATTCTTTTGAAAGTCTAGATATCTTGGGTTTCTTATGTATACTACTCTTTATGTTTACTCTAAAAGAGAGTATAATATCTGGACTAGAGTATAATTCATATACATTGTACCTATTATGCCAATAAATGAGTTTTTATTACTACTACATTGTAGCCCAGGAAGGAAAATTAATAGGATCAGGCTAGCTTAGCATCATCCCAACCTATCAATATTTTCTAGCAAAATTTAGCAAAGAGTTTTGCCAGGAACTTGCTTTCCTATAGCAGAACTCCACCCACACAGGAAGGTGTTCCTGGCTTTTCCCTGGTACAGACCCTGATAAAAGAACCTTCTGGATGGTGGGGCGTGGGACAGAACTGGGGGAAAGGGTAATTTAATGCCACCAACTATACTTTTTCATTTGTTTAAGGCCCCTTTAGATCCAAGCAAATTTCATTTTTTTAAAAATCTACATGGTATTAGTGGGGAACCCAAGAAAAAAATCCAAGGGTTCCAAACACTTAACATACCCAAATGCTAGACATAGTAACATACAATCAATGGCAAGTTCCACCATTCCACTTAGGACTCTATTTTATGTGTGTTTACATAAAAGGAGTTCTACAATTTCTAGCATTTTGCAGCCAGCATAAGCTTGCACTATAAAATATAAATATGTGCAGTCTTTTATCAGCCCAATGAAAAAGATTGCAAGGATTTTTTTTTAAATGCACATTCTCTTACTGACCACTGGTGTGCAGTGTAGACTTGCAAATAGCAGTTTTGCTTCTTTTACTTCTTTTTCAGAAAAAAAAAACCAAATCTGCTCATTCCATCACTTCAGTTTTTAAAGCTGCTGATGCTATTTGAACATACAGCTATTTGTAATAATGGCAGTATGGAACTGTTTTGATGGATGATATAGCAGGTTCTCCTTTCTCGCAAAAATTATACCTAGGTAGCACAGGAAAATCTTACGAAAAACAAATAGTGAGCAATCCTGTGGCTCCTAGACATTGTCTGATGTTGGAGCAGGGAATCAAGGCTCCACTTCTCCCCATCACAGCCTGTATGGGGAGAACTAGACAAGCTGTTCTCTGAAGTCAGGAAGGCAAACCTGGATGAATAAAGTGGGGTGTTTCAGGGCATTCCAGTTTGTCTCCTGTCCATGTCCTTTTAATATGCCTCAGCTAGACAGGAGGAAAAAACCCCTGTCTTCCAAGCAGGCTGAGAGGATGGCAATGGCCTCCATCACTCCCCCCTCTCTGTATTGGATGCTCATTACCCTCTTAGTGTGGAGGCTTACAGGAACAGCAAAAGGATTCCGTCCTAAGTGTCCCTATATTTTCTATAACCAAAGCAAAGGATAAATGCAGTTTAATGAAAAATACGAAAAGTGTTACCTGCGTTTCCAGTAGGTCTTTTGGTTCCTAGATAAACTGATGTAAGTGTATGTGAAACTAGAAATTACCATATTGCTTCTGTAGAATTGCTTCAGTTGCTGCATTTTATCATCAACTTTAAAAATGCACATTGGTCTTACTTGTGAGAGATTACATCTCTGTTTTAAAATTAAACCTGAAACAAGCTGAGGATGTCCCCCTATATGCTACCTGACTAGGAGATCCAATTGGATGATTCCACTGTCACATTTAGATTCCAGTCTAAGTCACATTTTTTACACAAATTAGACCTCACTGGATTTTATCTGAGCACAAAATAGTTCCAGTGTCTTGGTAAAGGATTTTACTTCCTTGGAATACAGTCCCATGAACCCTTACCTGGCAATAAATTTCAGTGAACTCAGTGAGACTTGTGACTGAAGAGAGGTGCATAGAATTGCACTGTTCAACCCAAAGTAGAATCTTATTCGGGAATTCATTTTCTCATATGTAAGGCTAAAGTGGGGTGGGAACATTGGCATGCAGGTATTCTCTGCCCACAGTGTTGCTGTTAGTCCAGCTGCCAGTCAGGCATGTGTCTATGGAGCAATGTGATCAGAAACCTTGATGGACAGGGGGCACAATCATGCAGTTCTGCAAGCATGTTTAACTGAATGCACTTACACAGCCCTTTCCACACTCAGTGCATTAAGATATGGAGCCAGGCATGCAGGGACTCTGGAAGCTAAGCTTGCATCTACACCGATGTCACCTAATCCACTTTAGCTCTGCACATGCACAAGTGAATGCCTGCATGGGGCTTATGTGTATGCGCTGTTCTCCCATGAATCATATCTAATTTACGTTGTATTTGTTTTCAAGTTCATGCTCAACTATCTTATTGATCTTTATAAGCTGCTCTGGATGCTATTGGACTAAAGGGCAGAGTAAAAATGCTTTTAACAACAGCTACCTACAACGGATGATGTAAGTAGTAAAGCATTAGATACACAGTAGTAAAGCATTAGGTGATATAAGCAGTAAAGCATTAGATGCATAGTAAAACATTAGCAAAGTTTGGAAAGCTTATCTTCACCTTGGATGGAATTCAAAAATGTGTATCTGAACATATTCTGGGGATCCCGAGGTTCTCTCTTCCAGCCATCACCCCTTCTGAAAAGCTACCCCTAAATTAAGGATCCCTTTCTTCCATTACTGCAAGAGCAGCAGAGGAGAGACATATTCATATGCTAGAAACTTGTAGCACCCCCTCCATAAAGTGGGCACAAATCCAGATGAAATCTGCTTATGCTATTTGTGTGTCTTTCATGTAGTTATGTATTTAGAAAATATTATTATAATTTAAAGTAGAAGCACAGCACTTCTCATTGTACGTTGGAAGACTGCTTGTCTTGTTCAGTTTCCTGTGAAGATGCTGTTGGTACACAACTTCACAACCCAGCTTTGCCTTCTTTATCTTTAAACTGGATTTGCACTGGACACCCTTCAAATAAAGGACTATCCTTTGCAGAAGAGACACATAACCATTCTTAGCACTAAATTTAAAGGTTAGCACAATCTGTTACTGCCATGAGCTACAACAGCCTTAATTGAATTGTTTCAGAAAACAGGCAAACAGGCTAGGGAACAATTTGGCTTTGCTAACTTCTATTGAATGTAAGAAACAAGGAAATGAACTTCTATCAGCAGGGGGTGCAAAAGGCCCACCATCCTGAAGCCACACCTATTTCATAATGAAAGACTGTGAAAGCAGCTTTCTCTTCCACTTGGCAAATAGGCAGTAAGCACATCCCTGCAATCATGCATTGAAATTCTGTGTACAGATAAGTACCTGCACCTGCTGCAAATGTAAACATAATCCACACCTGCTTGATTAAATATACAGCATAAAGAGAATTCAGATTTGTTTTTCATACTTGCTCTTCAAGCATTATTTATTTTTTAAAAATCACTCAAATTCAAATGTAAACAGAACTGTTTCAACTTGAAAGAAAGGCATGCATGCATGCACATTCACATGCACTTTTATTGAGCACTGATTTCTGTTAAGCTTTTGGCACAAAATGACATGGCCAACTGGGTGATTAATTATGGCAATAGTGAAATAAGCTGTTTTGTTCCTGAGCTTTCAAACTATCTGCTTCTTAATAAATAAAACTCAAGAGCAAAGCTTTTCCATTTGAGTATGAAAGAAAATAACCAACGAGATGTTCAGATAACATGCACTTGATACATATTTCCATGTAATTTATATTTTTACTCTGTAATAACAGGAATGTGAAACCAAAATATAAAGGCTTAGTCGGTCACAGTGCTGTAGTCATACATGTTTGTCCCTCGGACACACCCCTAGTTTACAGTTTTGTCTCCACAACCTATTTTTATTTATTCTTCTGAAACCTAGTCTTTTTAACTCCACCTCTTTGTTATTCGCTAGAATTCCTGCTTTGCTGCAAGTTAGATTCATGGTGACTTCAATTTTCTCTCTCTCTTTCTCTTTCTCTGCACTATCTTGCCCAAAGTAAAGGGGCACAGGGAATAATTTCACCAGCTGCTTGATAGGAGAAAAATATGCAAAAGTCAGAGAAACCTCTCTAAAGACTGTCAAAGCTTCATATGTTAAGAAGAGAACGGTGAAGTGTTGTTGCTTCTAAATAATAAAGAAGTGAGGTTAACATCAAATGGTGCAGATGAAGTATTTCTCTCCTGTCACTTCCACATCCTTTGTGAAAAAAAGGGGGAGGGGGGACACTGCACAGCAGTAATACAGTGCTATTTCAAGTACCATTAAAGTGCTCTGTTATATGGAGCACAACACTGTCCTTTGAAATGTAAACCAAATATCTGTTGTGAAACCCTTGAAGCACATGTGGGAATTAGTGAACACTCTTTCTGCTTCCTACAAAGTTAGGATGTCATTGAGGCAAATTAAGAGATGAAAGCTCATGTTTTACTTCAGATCTTTTGGTTGAGACTGCTCCAAAGCTGCTGCCCTTTGGAGATTTAAAATTAAATTAGAAGAAATAATTGCTATAATCCCTTTGCCTAAAACAATTTTTGCCATTTGCATAGGGTTTTGAACACAGTTTGTGTAATCTATTACTACAGCCACCCCTGCCGGTTTCGTCTGTCATAATCCAATCAACAACTAGAAAAGCATGCTAATGATTTTTTAAAATCCCATTTGGAATGAACATCAGGGGTTCCAGTTTTCCCCTGCCTAGTTGCGGAAAATAAAGTTGAGATGTTCTAAGCAGTTTAGATAAATCAAGTTAATATATGGGTTTGTGGTTTTGCCTGTTTTGTGATGAAGTCCTTCTTTTCAAAATAGTGTAGCAATAAAAATTGTATTTCATCGGAGGAAAAGGGAGCAACATGCAGATGCCCCATGCAAAGGATGTTCCCATAGTAATGTTTCATCAAAAGTCTTAATTGAATTAAATCCTGGTATATGTGCAATATATATTAAGAAAGGAAGGAACATATTACACGAGGATCTTGGGGGAAAATACAGACTTGGCAATGACAGACTAGGACAGCAAAGATAGGATTATGGTAGATAGTTTGATGAAAAAGTCATGCAGTGTAAAGCTGCTGTGAAGAAGCAAATTCCATGTTGGATGTCATTGGGAAAGGAATCAAAATTAAAACTACTAATAGCATAGTGCTTTTTTATAAATCTGTGGTGCGACATTATTTGGAATACTGTGCACTGCAGTTCCAGTTTTGAAAGACAGGATAAATATTAAAAATAATAACTAAAATACTATTCTGGTTATCACACCTCAAAAATAAATTGTGGAGCTGGGAAAGGTGCAGAACAGAGCAGTTAAAATCATCAAGAGACTAGGGTACCAATTCTGACTTTTTTAGCTTAGAAAAGGTGAGAAAGAGAAAATATAATAGAAGACTATGAAATTACACATGCTGTGGAAAAGAATAGGCCAATGTTTTTCCCACTCTTGTTGTGATATAACTCAGAAGCACCCAATGAAGCAGAGTGGTAGGAGATCTAGGACAGAGAAGCAGAAGGACTTCTTCGCTCAGTACACAGTGAAATGATAGAATCCGTAGTGTTGGCCACCAACATGGAACTCTTCAAATGGTGATTAGACAGAGCTGTAAAAGCTAGCCATTATGACTGCATTATGATAGTCCTATATATTATCTCCAGTATCGGTGGCAATAGGCTGGGGAACTTGGATAGGAGGGTATTGTTGTATCTTTGTGAGCTTCCCCTGGCATCTGATTGGTCACTGTGAGACAAAATGCTGGACTAGAGAGGTCCTTAGTCTAACCCAGCAAAACTCTTTTTACATTCTCAGGACAGCAAAATCTTGATTTCTATCTGTTTGTTCCCCTACAAACATAAGCAAAGGTCTTAATCATGACATTTGTAAAATAAAACAGCCATAAATGCCTTTCCTCCACAGAATAGTAACAGAGTATCTCAAGTTTAGGCATTTGGGTGCCCTCTCAGTGCTTTGGACTACAGTCCACAATTACCACAATTCCTAGCAAGGATAGCCAGTGATCAGGAGTTATGGGAGATGTAGTCCAAAACATCTGGAGAGCACCGCCTTACCTACCCCTAACCTATCCTGTGCATGCTTAACTGGAAATAAAAAAGATTTACCATGCACAAACACCAGTGTTAAGGGGGGCCCACTGGGCCTTCAGGTAAAGGAAGTTTCATTATTTGGTCACTGCAACTAAAAAAAAAAAGATGTATAATTTCAGCTTTGCAGAAAGATCTCCATATCACATGCATTTCACGACATATTGCATATGGATTAAGTGTACCATGGCCACAGTCTAGTCAGTGGCTGTTGGTACCATTTACCATGATGGTCTCCTCTGTGAGTTGGAAGTTAGAGGCACTGTTCACAGTAGTTCAACTTGTGCTTGCAGGGTCAGTTCCAGACAATAATATCAAGTGATCTCATCTTTTTCCCATGGGGGCTGAACTGAGAAATACCACAAAATACCGTCTTTCCCCTATGCTATTGAATATCTGTATGAAATTGTTGGGGGTGGTCATAAAGAGTCATCCAATAACGGCACCCAGTCCTATTTCTCTGAGAGCTGAACTGGTGAAGGCCTTGCATATTCTTAACCAGAATATGGATGCAGTTACGACTTGGATGAAGGCTAAAAATTTGAAACTGAACCCTGCTAAGACAGAGACCCTATGTGATGGCTGTTCCCAGGTCCAGGGGTTGGTTTGTTTGCCTGTTCTGGATGAGGTTGTGCTCTCTCTGAAGAAAAAGGTATATAATCTATTTTTGACACTGAAACACCAGACAACCCCATTGGAAGCCCAAAATTTCTTGGCTTGTTATTAAGTCAACCATGCTGTTCCATTTTACTGCTCTGTATTCTTGTTGTCATCATTTTTTAATATTCTATTTTAAATGTGATTTTAATTGTGACTTTAATATTTATATGCCAGCTGCTTAGGGATTTTAAAATATTTAGTGCTATAGAAATAATACAGATGAATAAATTAAATAAGTATAATTTATATGACACATTTTATCACAATCATCATGTACTATGAACAGATGCATTGTGATGATCCATAGTTAAAATCAAATGTTCCATTTCCATACTCTTCTCCCTTTAATGGATTTAATATTTTTCCATTCTCCAAATATAAAGAAGCAGAAAATATTTTAAATATTTCCTTGTTGCAAAGAAGCATTTACCTCTTAAGTACTCCATTTATATTATCAAGCCAAAAAAATCCACAATAGATTGAAGTTAGAATTTCCTTCTGTTGGCAGTAATATTGGCCAAGCAGAGTTCTAATAAGAGCATTCCTGCCAGCAGCGTAGGGCAGGAGGATATTTGAACATCCCATGCTTCCTTCTCCACCTTGCACCCTGTTCCAGAGAAGCTTTTCAGGGAGCGTAAGGGGATGCAGGGGTGTTGTAATCCTTGCATGCACATACCATGATTTTTCATAAGTAAGCTTACCCCTATATTTCAGTTTACTGTACATAAAGATTTGCATCAGACTGAGGTGGAAACAACTGTGGAAGATTTAGAGGATGCCACTGGAGCCAGGTGCCAAAAGGATATAAAGATCTGGGAGCTACAAGCACAGGTATATTTATCACATTTATGATGTTGTGATTACATAGCAAAAGTTCATAGAACCTTCACATGTAATAGATTTTCATAAATATATTCAGGACACATGACATCCTGATCTCAAGCACATTTAATTAGAATGAGTCCCAGTTATTCCAGAGAAACTTTATTTTAAGTAACTTTGCAAGAAATAATATGAGATGCTTTCCAACTTTGATACACTTGTGTATGATGATGATGACGACGACGACGACAATAAAGATAAGTTGATGATGATCATTATGATACTAGGTTCTGCATAACCACTTTATTCCAAATGAACAGTGAGTTTCTTTTTCTGGGGATAAGTGCCTAATAACTACAGGGTTGGATCCAGACATCATCACACGTAGTGCAGACTTATTAAAATCAGTTGAAGTTAGCTAAACATTGATTTCAGTGAGTATACTCTAAATATAGCAATGCCTGGATCCAATCCATCATAGACATGATTCTGAGATACCTTGACTGACTATTCTAGCCTTTGTGGCCAGAAACCCTTCTTTTCCTGTAATAATTTGTATAGATTTTAAAAATTTATTTCTTCTCCAGATTAATAAAGCTGATAAAAACTTAGCTGAGATGACCTACAGCTGTAATTGCTGCCAAAGGTGCAGCACTTGGTAATTGGTAGCTGTAATTGCTATCAAGTATTGACTCAGAAGGGTGAGCACTTCTGCCACCAGCAAGTGCCAGGTTGTTTTTGTTTACTTTGCAATAAAAATGCTTTGCCCCTTCACTCTGATAAGTGTCTTGTGTTCATCAAGTGGTCAAAATGCCAGCTGAAATGGACTGGATTCTAGGTCCTAACAAGAAAGTGTGGACAAGTCAAAGGGTGAATACTTCTGCATAGCCCTCAATTGGAAAAGCTAATCAGATGCAAAAAGTGTAAATACTATTGATAAGCTATTCATATTACTGTATGCAATTGACTGTCACTCCATAGCATCCAGAAACATTGATCCAAAGTAGCATAACATTTCAAATCAGATATGACTGCTTTTCTCTCCTTTAAAAGCCATGCGATTTTAACACTGTGCTTCTGAACAGTAATAGTCTCATATTGATTTTATTTTTTCCTGGTTGAGCTCTTTAAATTTAAAACAGCTGTTCTGCCGGTAGTTGTGCAAGATAGCCAGAGGCATCCTTCTGCTGTCTTTAACAAGGCTTCCTAACCCCCTGGAGTAACAAGTCTTTAGGCCACATTAAGTTTGCTTGTTGATGAAAAGGGGGAGCATTAAACAGTAACATTTCACTAGGGACTGCCAAAGTTAAGATTCCTGAAAAAGTAGTAGATTAATAATAACGTATAGTCTCTCCATGTAAAGAGGCTTCTGTGAAGCAAAGCAATAAGAAAGAGATCCAGGAAAACTAAGCTGTAATGAATAATTACTGATACAAAGTAACTTCCTTTAAATGGATATTCTGACTTGAATGATGTTTGACAATAAAATAACTATTTCCTTAAACCCAGGCAACCTTCACTCTGGATCAGTTTCAGAACAACCATCTACTACTCCTATTTTTCTCCTTCCTGCCAGGAACTTTTTTTCAGCTGAGCTCAAATACTGGAAGTGAATCTGCCAGTTAAAAAGTAAATAAATAAAAACACTTGGTGAGGTTAGCAGGGTAAGTAATTGGCTATGTAAAGATCACCAGAGTACTACAGGAACATGATTCAGGAACTGGTTGTTTTCTATCCTGGAGGATCTTGCACTAATAATACAGTCTCCTTTCATCCAAAAAAAGGGGGAAAATCTTCAGATGATGGAATAAGCAGAACATTCCTTTACAAAGAAATGTCTTGTCTTTCCATTTTCAAAAGTACTGCCTGACAAAGCATCTCATTTAATTTCAGCATTCATTAGATATGGAACAATCTTTTCTTCAATTAAAAGGTGCTTCTTCTGTATGAACAACACATATACAAAGATGTACAAAGATGACATAATACTTTGTACATTATACTGGACAAAAGCCATGCAGCCCTTTAAATAAAATAGCATGAAATGATTATTTTACTAGTGTGAAACTGTGGTATATTGAAAGTCTATTTGTTTTTGGAGAGTGTATATATTAGCAATACACTGACCAATGGCCAAAGTTTCCTGGAAAGTTTACAATAGCCCCTAAAGAGGCCCATGATACAACAAAAATAGTACAAAATGTCTCGTAATATAAAAAATTAAAAACAGTTTGCGATTATTAAAATACTTAACAACTAAAATGGTATGTAACGCAGAATATGCCTGCTAAAAACAGGAGACATGAGTATCCCTGTAAAACTAGTTGTAAAAGGGAACTAAACAATAGATTTATATCAACATTGCCTAATGATGAAGATAAAAATTATACATACTAAAAGGTTTACCTGGCATTAAAATCAGGATATCGGCAGCAACAATATAAACCATTAAAGACCATTAAACCAAAACAAAACAAAAACAGTTCACCCACCAAAATAATCAGGGAAGACGGTTCATGGGACCCTCACCGGAAACTGAGCTGTACCAGCACAAGCTATCCTGCCATCCATGATACTGTCCCTGGTAGCAGTGAGAAGGGAAGAAAGCTGACCATCAGGAATGGCAGGCATCATGCCTACTTGCTCCATCTATTTTCCCTGTGAAGCACCACCACTGCCCTTGGAAGTAGTGAGTGGAGAAGAAGTTTGGCTGCTTGGAATGGCAGCTGGAAAAGATTGTTGATTGTGGGGCAGGATCTATGAATACTCGTGAACTTCTTTCAGGCTTGGCTTCCTTCCTTAGAGAGAGACGAGCACCTGAAGAAGTCTGATGGCCAGGTGTGAACTGGGTTCTGGAGAGGTTCAGCACATCCCTAGTATGAATAAGTCCCTAGTATTCATGAACTTGGGGACTCCAACAGCTAGTATGTGTCGCTGAGTGCCTTACAAATACTATTTTGATATATAAAAAGCAAGTTGTGATAAAGCCAGAACCACAGTTGGAGGGTTGGGATGAACACCATTTGCAAATTTCCTTTCATGTTCAGCCCAGTCTTGCAAAGCAAGATGAGATGAGAGGAACTCCATGAATGCTCATGAGGTTAAGGTTGCACAACTGACAATCTTCTGTGTCGGGTGCAGCAGCAACCTTTGTGGTGGAGAAGAAGGCTGCAGGTGGTGGAGAAGAAGGATGTTGCTTGTGGTCACACAGAGCTCCGTTCCTGGTAAACCCTGCAAGAACAGCCTTCTTCCACATCAGAAGCAGCAGCCCAAAGAGCTGCTACACATGCCATGGAAGAGCGGCCAGGAATGGAGTCCTGCATAACCCCTAGCAGTGTCCCTCTTCCGCACCACGTGTAGCAGCTCTTTCTTCGTATGCACATGGAGCCCAATTCCTGGTGGGCACCCTGTGAACACTGAGTTCAGCCCTGGGCTGCTGCGATGCAGATTGGGGCCCAGGAAGTGGAATCTGACAGATTCCCACCACCAAACGAGTTCCTCACACATCCCTTTGGTTCCTCACACCACCCAAGATGTGGTGTGAGGACAGCTTTTTTCTGTTTTTCCCTCCTGCTTCGGAAGTCACCACTCAAGGTCTTCCTAAAACCAGAAATAGCTTGCATGATTTTATTGTTAGCTGCATTGAGAACCATGAGGGACATCTTGAAGGCATGATCCAAACAGTGCTATTTATGCAAATAAAATCTCTGTTTTAAAATTTAAATTCTTTCCCATTTTTCTTTATTGTGTACTGATCTTGATTGTCTACTTATTCAAATATAAAATTAAAACTGACTAGCTTAGATTGTATAGACCACTGGATTAAATGATAATGATGATGAACCATGGTATCATACAGTATTTCAGTTATCCATGCTATACTTTGTTAAAATTATTAGTTCTTCCTTCTACCAAACTGAAAAAGTAGAGAACATTAAATGCTTCTCCTGCTAATGTTGCCCTTCCTTTCCCATTTCTTGACAAAGTATGCTTTCTTTTTCCAATTTCTAATCATTTTGGTGCATTTGATAACTGTCTGCTATCTAATTTCAGCTACAAAGATCAATTCATTTGGTCCATAGCTTATTCTAGAATTCTAGGCAGCAGGAGGATTCATTGCACCCTTGTTATCACCTTTTTTCCATTTGCTCTGAAAGCATACAAATTTACTGCTCATAGACTTTCTTTTATGGATTTATTAGATTTTAGTTGTTTGCTTTTATCAGTAGGTCACTGATTAAAATAGTTACCCCTGCCAAGTCTGACTTTAGATAATATTTTAATTTTAGGTTTCTAAACTCCATTTTAACTCAAAACTACTGCTAATCCAGGAACTGAGTTTGCCTTTATTTCCAAATTGCCCTTGAATAGAATTTGAATTATATCAGTGATCATAAAAGATTTCATGGTATCTCCAGAAGGTGTTCTATTATAAACAACTGCTGTAAGAAATACTGTACTGAGAGAAATACAAAACACATTAAACAGCTAGAGAAAAACAGCCTAAACTGCACGTGTTTCCACCAGAACATGTACAGAATGTAAAATATGCATATTTTATATGTCACTGATATGACCACTTCACACATCGAAACAAAAACAAAACAGAGTAGTAGTGCAATGTTTTAAATATATACTCAGAGTTAAATCTTACTGTATTCACATTCATTCCATAAAAATGTGTGCAACCTGACCGATGACAAATATGTGGGTCACAAGCTTAAGAAAGTCATGTTAACTCTACTATTTTCCTTTTCTTGGAGAAATAGTTCTTGTATTTACAGATTTACTCTCTGTTCACATTTTCCAGCTTGAGCGACTACAGTCTGAAAGTGAATCAGAGTGGGAAAGAAGGAAAATCCTTGAAACAGAAAAGCAAGAGCTAGACAGAGAGAACGGAAGGCTGAAGACCAAACTGAAAGATCTGCAAGATCTTCTTGACAGAAAAAGCATAATCCCTGCAGTTCACTTGTGTGGAGATCTCATGAACTCGCACGGTGAACCACTACAGGAAAATACGGTATGATACTTAGCTTGAATTTAGTATATACTTCTCCCATGTCATACCTTGGTTCCCAGCATCCACGTATTAGGCACAGAGGTCTGCAGCTGAAAGCCTCCTTGTCTACTCAAGTTGGACTCTCCAAGATTTTGTAAGCTCCCCAAAGAGCTTTACCTTTTGTGCAGTATAGAAATGAATTAATGAATAACATCTAATGAAATCCATGCCTCATACTTGAACTTTGGAGGCAGGGCCAAAGAGCTTCAGACCTTTTCAATGCAAGATTCATGCTTGAATGGGCATTTACTTGCACATACTGTCTGTATTCTTTTCTGCATAAGCTATTAATTATATTATTTTGATTTCTGCATAGCATGTTCTTTTAATTGTATTAATAATTAATTGTACTTCACTCCAGAATATTACAAGTAATTATGAAAGGAACTATCCTATAATACATTATCCACAATATACGTCCTTTTAAAATTGATAGTTTATTGCAGTTATATTATTTTGCCAAAAGCTTCAAAAATATATTTGGAGGGAGCAGGGGAATGGATGCTAGCAAATCAGAGTTTTCTTGGGTAAATATTTACTTGGCACTTTTGTGTAATAATGAATGCTCTATTCATGGAAGGTATTCCTTCACATATATTGTGACTGTATCATATGTTTAAACTCCATTTGGGGAGTGGCCTTGGGAAAAAGAATTACACTAAATTAAATGTCTTATATATCTAGCTCTGCCACTTTTTCCCAACTGTTGAAGCTGTCTTCATTAAATTACAGATTTGTGCAATTGTTCCTATACACCCTTCCATGTATTGTTTTTGTTGACTATTTTGCTGATTTGTTTTCATTGGCAAATTTGTGATGTTGGGTCCCTGCTACTTTTCCTTGTTCTCTCTCTCTCTCTCTCTCTCTCTCTCTCTCCGAATTTCATCAGTCTCATTGGAGCCTGCATTGGTGCCTGAATGTATTGTTAAATTTGACATGCATGAATAAAAAGGAAAGGAAAGGACCTACACAGCTCTGGAGCAAGAAAACACACATGTGTACAGGAAATCACATAATAATTAGTCCCAGGGAGATCAGTCAGAAGTGCATCAGAATTAAATGCGACAGTAATGCAGATCTGAAGACCTTTGTTATTGCTATCTATCAAGCCCATACACTTTTCCACTCTGCTAGAGATATTATACATACATAGCGTAGACAAAAGAAAACATGTAACATTGCACTGCATCTGAGGCCTTTTATTAAAGTATCTGATGCTCAAAGTCATTACCTTAATTTAGCTATATAATTTCAGACAATAGCTTCAGCTGTACATGGTCAGAACAACCATGATAGTGTATCCAGAATATTCCAAAGACTGCTTAGTACTTAGGGGAATTGGGGAGGACTTTTGCAAGATCGAATATGGCATTCTTGTAGCTTCTTGTATTTGAGTAAGACACATGGAATAGGATTTGCTTCTGAGCTATCATGTATGAGATTGCCTAGTAAGAAGTCTAGCATGGCAAATGTTTTCTTTGCATTGTTTGTTTGCAGACACTAGTCTGTAAAAGCTTATGCCACAGGGTATCAGCTTGTCTTTAAGATGTCATAAGCCTCTGGGCTGGATCTAGAAGGAACAGTCACTGAACAGAGATCTGCAAAAGCTATGCTGGTTAGGGAGTCTCCAGCACCACTCCCACTTGATTCCAGAGGATCCTGCAATTCCCTGGAACCAATTTTCAGGGGACAGAGGAAGCTGCAGGAAGAGAGGCAATAAACTCAATAAGACTATCAGCTACCCCTTTGAAAATGGTTCATTAAGGCAATCAAGCATCTATTGTGCTGTACTTTGCACAGGATTGAATTTCAGATGTGGTGGCTAATGATACATGCCAACGGGGGTGGGGGGGGCGGATTGAATGAGGTGGGTAGAAACCAAGCTAGCATGGAAACCACTTGATTGTCTGCCAGGCACATCCTGCAAAACCTTGTACACCATGAAAACTACACAGGGTTGCTTGCCATGATGCATGAACCCAGCCAGATTTTTTCTTGCTTTTATTCTGGGTTCAGATGAGAACTTGTGAATGTACTGTTGTCAACATTTCTCACTAAATAAATCAGAACCTTACTTATTGGTTACCCTTTTGTACATCACTCTTTTTTTCAGTCCCAGAACTTTGAGAATGGAGGCAGAATGGCAGATATACTGCACAATATCATGGACTATTGATGATATATGAATGTTGTTCAGGATTGGGTGGTTTGCTTGTTTGCTTGTTTGTTTTTGTGGGGTGTGTTTGTGTTTGTGAACATTTTATTAAAATATTAAAACATATACATATATAATTATATTTAAACAGCAGCTGTGCAGGTCTAAACTGACAATAGGATGAGTCACTGTATTTTTGTGGCCAGCCTTTGAAAAGGAATATTTTTGCTATATAAAACTGATGAAATAGTTGAAATCAGACATCAGATTTTATGTACCTGTATTGATTTGCACTTCCTGGAATAGAGTTTTCCTTTAAAATAGCACTTGAATATGTTTTAGATGAACAAACATTTCAGGGCTTGTGTTACACTGGTTACATTTTTGTGCCATCTACATACACACACAGAAGAAAAAAAAACCTGATCGTAGAGACAGGTAAATTAAAGGCATCTGTCCTTCAACTGCCCTTTCACTCCTTCTATGCTCACACACTCACGCACACATACCAGTTTCCTTTCATCAATCCAAGGATATGCTTGCTCAGAAGTTGCTTTCTGTGTGTGAACACGCACATAATTTGCTAGAACAGGAGTTACAGGTATAAATCCAGATGTACATTAAGTTATAGATAATGTCACTGCTTTGCTTCCGTGGGGTGAACATTTTAAAGAGCATGATATTGAAAGAAAAGTAATGCAGATCAACTGCATCATTGCTCCAAAGCACATTTCAATATGTCTCTGACCCCGCTAGTTCCAGATCCAGCAAGCAATGCAGATGTAGAAGCTTCTTTCTGCATACAGATCTTAATTGTATTGAAGTGCTAATTCAGCTGGGGGTGGGGGAAGTAGGCACCCTGTTGAAGCAGAGGGACTGTTAAGGATTTCCAGCAATAGGAAATATACTTGGGGAAAAAGTGCACAGCAGAGCATACATTCTGGCAGATAACACAAAACAGAGGAAGTCATATTGATCAAAAGTAAGATCCCCAAACTCAATTCAGCATAATAAATAATTTATAATTTTCAACAAAGTGTGATAATGTTGCTGAGTTCATTTAGGAAAGAGGAAAGCATTCTGACCTCAGAGCTAGGAATTTGAATTCCACTCTTCTTTTGCAGTCACGGCAGAAGGAAGAGTGCCAGCTTCTTTCTGAGGCTGGTAAAGCAACTCAGAGAAGGGGAGAATGGGGCAATTTCGGGGACAGGAAGAGCAGAATCAGGTAGTTCCCTGCGATACTGTTGCTCAATGACCAAAATGGCCATCTAGTGAAAATGTGGAATAGGAAGGGAAGGATGACCACTGCTCTTCCTCCCTCTCTGTGTTGGACATGTGTGTGCCTCCAAGATCAAGGGTTTAAGCTGCTCTTAAACTTAAACATTTTAAAGAAATGCAAGTATAGATTTGTTTTGTGAATACATGTCTGATTCTTTCTGCATGTATTGCTTTCTCTATTGAAAATGAGTTTTCTTCTACTTTGCATTTGGTTTCACTCTCTCTTTTCTCCCAAATCATTTTAAAATGAAATTTCTTCCAGTTTGCAAAGATGGGTTACTGAATATCAGCCGGAGAGATTTAAAAGTTCGTGCTATAATTTGGAGTGGGGAGAAATCATAGATTATCAGTACATGCCTATGAATGTCTATTTCACCGCCAGTTAAGGATTCCAGTCTTAGTCTATGGTAAATAAACATGCTGGTTTGGGAAAAAATTGAAAAGCAAAGGGAGAACAACATACATTTTTTCCCAGAAAAGTTCCAAAGGTCATGAAGACGGAGAGATGCACTTACACAGACTACAAGACAGAGAAAGGGAAAGATGCTCCCTCTCCATCTCCATCTCCCTCTCCCTGTGTGTGTGTGTGTGTGTGTGTGTGTGTGTGTGTGTGTGTGTGTTGTGCAAGAAAAAAGTGAGAGGGAGCTTTTCTTCCTCCAGTTTAGAGCTTTTCACAAAGAGCTTCTTTATACAAGACATTTATTGCACACGTGTGTTCTTTAGCCATTGCCGTTTGCAGGGACTTAAAAACTGTTCTCCAGCAGCCTCTTCTGTGTTGTGCAGTCCATTTCCATGCTGTGTTTTAGAACAAGGATAATCAGCTATTTTTGAAATCCCATGTGGAAACAAGCCAGAGTATTTTGGCAGTTGTGCTGTACTGCAGTGCCACCTTATGGCTGTAAAAGAAGACAGAAAAGGAAAAACCCTGGAACAATCTTGCATACAAAGGATGTAGTCTTATTTCTAGGAAGAAAATGAAAAAGGAAGCTCCAGGTTCAATAGGCCATGCACAGGGAATTAAAGCATGCTGTTAGGCTTTGGCTTAAACGATAAATGATTAGTATTTCTTTCCTTGAGGTGGAAGTGTGTGGGGGAGAAGGAAAGGATGAAACTGCAGTGCTGATATACACATTTACCTGGAAATATGCCGTTTAAAGCCATGGGACTTGATTCTGAGTAGACGAACATAGGATTGCACCATTTAATCCCCAACAAACAATGTGTTGGTTTAAAGGCATCAGTGGGGGTGGGTGATAGGACTGAAAAAATGCATTGTCAGAAATAACTTTTTCTCTCATCAGTCCCCTTCTGAGAGAGAGAGAGAGAGAGAGAGAGAGAGAGAGAGAGAGAGAGAGAGAGAGAGAGAGAGAGAGAGAGAGAGAGAGAGAAGCTTAAAGTGCTGGTTGGGAAGAAATACTAAATGCTGAAATTATTTAATTGGCAGTTGGGGAGAAAGCAAATCAGATATATGCACCTTCTGGATGAGTGGATAGGACATGACATATTTGCCAGTGGGAGCTGCAGCATAGCACATCTAGAGAACACCAGGTCAGGGAAGGCTGCTATAAGACAAGGAAAAGTAGCAGCCCTGTGTTGTTCTCCAGAACCCACAGTCACCCATGCATATTATATTCTCAGTCATGTCCACATGGTTTGGCTACTTGGGAGAACCACAAAGAGAATTTCACTTGCATTTTCTATCTCTTACATTGATGCAGGATCAAGGATTAGGAGTCTTAGCTCATAGTTCCTGCTTTTTGGAGCTTGATTGAAAACCGTATCGTCTTTCTCTTTTTTGGCTTAACTTTATTTTTAATAGAGTGAGATACATATATAATGTACACAGCCCTGAATGTTATTCTTTATTATCATCCAGAAGACACTGATCAAATGCATTTCTTTAATATGTGTAGATTTTGTACTGGAATGGTTTCTTTGATAGCCCAAACTAAGATCAGCTCTTATTTTTTTTAAAAAATGACAAGATGACTAATGTATCCAGAGGTAGCATGAGCATAAGATAATTTATCTTCATTGGACACATTGCCAGTGCTTAATTTGCAAAATGAATGGTGTCAGTGTTCAGCAGTGCCAGATGCTAGCACAGGAGCTTTGGGCTGACTGTCAATACAATACTAGTAAGGGAAAAGCACTCTGCATGTACATAGGGGCACTTTTCTGTCTGACTAGATGTGAAGATGACATGCATACTGAATACTACATGCTGTTTTTCAAGTATGAGCCACAGAACTTACTGCTTCCTGGTTTCTGGTTTATAATCGCAGCATATGATTCATCTGATTCATTCTTAACATGGGACTCCACAAATACAGCCTGATAATATGTAGTAATTAATGAAGTTTTATATATTTACAGAACTCCTGTCTTGTATATCTGCATACACTGACACATCTCAAAAACAACAGCCCATCATAGTTTGATCATTTCCTTACATGGAGATGGCCTTTCACTGAGGCATCTTAATCAGGCATGTAAAGCTCCTCAAACATGTAATCATTGCTCTCTTCCAGGGATATCACTAGAACAATTGTTGCCATGTACCACAAAGTTGTCCCAACTTATGCTGACTCTACAAATGACAGCCCTCCCAAATGTCCTGTCCATGACATCCCTGCTTAGCTGTTCTAAATTCAAAGCAGTGGCTTCCTTTACAGAGTCAATCTTTTCTCATTTGGTCTTCCTTTTCTTCTTCTGCCTTCAGCATCATCATTATTATTATTATTATTATTATTATTATTATTATTATTACATTTCTATGCCGCCTCTTGCCGAAGCCTCGGGGTGGCTTACAACACAATAAAATACATTGAAATACAATAGCACATAATAAATTACCACTAAATACAAAAATACAAAAAATACACTGAGATACAAACATAATAATATAAAATTAAAATTAACAGTATAAAATAAGTAAATAAAGAATATAGGAGGAGAAAAGAGAAGGAAGAAGAAGTTGCCCTGGCCAGATCATATATTTTAACAATTAAGCATCCCTACCATGCTTGTTTTCTTCACTGAGCCTTGCCTTCTCACAATGTGTCCAATGTATGACAGCCTCATTTTTGCTAGAAGAGCAGCCTATAATAATAGACATTCTGATTTAAATGAGTAATTAGATACTTGAGCACTGTTGCTTAAAACCATTGGTGGAAAAGTTGTGGGGGGAACCCTAGTCTATGCACCCATGCATGCAACTATACACTCTTGTTTACAGCATCTTCTTATTACGGTTCTCTTGAATTTGAACTCTGTTCACAGGGTCTTGTGGAGTAGATATGGAAATAAGCTTATCTTTGATTCTGGGCCAACAGTATACTTTTCCTTCAGCTGTATAACACTTCAGTTATATAACACTTCTATGCTATTCTGAAAACAAAATATGAGTGCTATTTCACATAGTCTTTGTTGACCCCCTTACTGTGATAGACTAATGCATTATTACTTTCCCACCTTTCCATCTACACTTCTATGACGGGTATATATCATATTTCTTTTCAGCACTACTGCCAAGTTGTTTAGACGACTGCCTTGATTGCATGAAAGATGTGTATCAAATCTAATCTGCACTGTACTTGAAACACTATCATGCTATTTTTTCAAATGTATTATAAAAGTCTACAGAAAATGTGGCTTTTACTGTATTTTATTAGAGAGATAAAACATGGAAATCAAAATACTTTATGTTGTCCATGCAAGTTTTATGTACTCAACTTTTAAAT